AGTGCAGAAGGACATCTCATCACTGCAGAGAGATCCAGTAGGCATCTCTGTACAGTGCAGAAGGACATCTCATCACTGCAGAGAGGTCTGGGAGCCAGCTCTATACATTGCATGCTAGTTACATTTCAATAAATTCATTTACTGAGAGTAGAATTTTAAAAATAATTGCACAGCTAATTGTTGCTTTTGTTTTTAAATTTAGACTTATTCTCTTTAAATGGCAAAGTTTTCTTTTCAAAAGCAGAAACCAACAATTTCATAAATCATTTAACATATTTTCTGAAACAATAAAAAATGTATTTGATGAATAGGCTGACAATCACTTCCTGGATCTGAGTACCAGGAGACTTCCCAGCTGTCAGAGCAGTCTGACCACAGGCAAGACTGAACAACCATCTAAAAATGGCAACTTGCACTTCTACAACCTCCCTGGAGCTACAGTGTGGACATTCAAGTGGAGGTGATAATGAGTACCCTCATGACCAAGGGTAAAGCAGAGTGAACTCCAAAGGCTTGCAGAATCTGCTTTCAACAGTGAAGAAACAAAAATCACTCATCAAAATGGACTTTTCAGACACACTACCAGATGAAAATAAATTATTCTCATGCTTGATCTCAGAATATGAAAGAACTTCTAAAGCAGTTGCAGGAGACAGGCGTCAGTTTAACCCATTCCGAGGACAGTCCTTCTCCACCTACCGGGAGACCTGTTCATGCTCACTGGACTGATTTCTGTGCATTTCCTGGTACTGGGTCAGTATTATCCAGTCACTGGGTAACAGACTGCAGTCATAAAATTAGTGGTAAGAACCTGTTGACTTGGAGGCTCTGAGTTACTTGATCCCTGGGAGAACTGAAAGTCCAGAATAAGCAATAAAGGGGTTCCCAGTACCCTACCTCGGGAGCTAGGAAAGATGCTTTGATAAATAAGAATAATCTAAACAACAAGGAGCTGTAGAGCTGCCTTTTGAAAAGATTTTCCTCTGGCACAGTGGTGGTGATAACAATCTTTTACACTCACTAGTGAGATCATTAGTTAATACAACTATTTAGAAAATAGCTTACTAATATGAGCTAGTCTCAAAAGTATTCATGTCATTTGACAAGTTATTTTCACCCCTTAATATACCATAAATGTCTAATCTATAATATATAGAAATTCCCATTAAAAATATTCTTTGAATAATTTCAAATAACCCAAAATTGAGAAGTGATTAAGTAAATCACAGTAAATGCAGTCATTAAAATGTGTTAACACATAGTTTTAATAACATGGAAAATGCTTAATTGCTTAATACTTTAATTTACGTAAAAGGAACTACATAATCATATGTCAACATAGGCTCAATCATAGATGGAAAAGAGGAGAAATTCTCAAAATAGTTTAACAAATATTTTGACAAAGATCATTCACCTGTAATTGATTTTCCAGACTCACAGCAAAGAAGCAGACAATAGCTCTCTGTAATTGATATCAGAATCTTAAAGAAAAGAAAAAAAAAAAGCCTCAGCATGAGATGGCTATGGTCAGTTTAACTCATTATATGGATAGAATAGTTTTCTTCTTTAATAATAACATTATATATTTTCTAATTTCTTAATTTTCTCAATTTCTACACAGAATGAGTATTAATTTTACAATTGATAAAACTGGGTCTTGATCCAGAATAATCCAAAAAGCAACTAATTTAAGTTACTCTGAGGGTAACTTTACTGGAATTAGATGGATACACAGATTTCAGTGCATGTTTGGTATAGAAGATGTCATTTGAGAGTTATATCTCAAAGCCAGTGAGATATAAGTCAATACTGCATTACCATAGAGCCAGAATGCAGAGTGACATGCAAGTCCCCCCTGCCTCTGGGTGGAGCACCTTTAAGCCTCTAACAGAGCAGCATATGTTATTTGTCATTTCTATTATTGTGTGTATAGAAAAAGGATATACTCTGAAATAAAAGCTCTCAATAACTATGAGGTATTACTTAAAGATAAGAATGACAAACTTATCCTGGGCTCAGACATTAGTACCTGCTTTGAATGACTGTTGAGAGATCTTGAATTTATATCTATATCTACCATGATGCTTGATAACAAAAAAAAAAAAAAAAAAAAAAAAAAAAAAATAAATAACTAAAATCAAAAAAAAAAAAAAAAAAAAAAAAAAACACTTAATGAAAAAAGCCAATCACTTTCTTCCGGGGGTGTGGTAATCAGTGCTTGAAAAGAGAGAAGAGAAGTGTTGTTGGTTCTTTTTTCTCTTTTACTCTTTTGGGGGCCTGCCACTCAGCTACCAAATAAATCACACACAGAGGCTTATTCTTAATTATAATGCCTGGCCTTAGCTTGGCTTGTTTTTTTCTAGCTTTTCTTAACTTAAATTATCCCATCTATTATTGGTGGAATTATTAAGGCCACCCCACATAGTTAAAAGGAAGGTTTATTTTGTGGGGTAATGTGGTGGTATTGTGTTCCCCAAAATATTGTGCACCTTAATAAACTTATCTGGGATCAGAGACAGAACAGCCTCTAGATACAAAGGCTAGAAAATGGTGGCACACACACCTTTAATCCTCGTGTTCCAGAGGTAGAAATCCCTCTGGATCTCTGTGAGTTCAAGGCCACATTGGAAACAGCCAGGCATGGTGACACACGCCTTTAATCCCAATAAGTGAGCCTTTAATCCCAGGGAATGATGACAAAAACAGAAAGATATATAAGGTGTGAAAACCAGAAACTAGAAGCTTTTGGCTGGTTAAGCTTTCAGGCTCCTAGCAGCAGTTCAGCTGAGATTCATTCTGAATGAGGACTCAGAAGCTTCCAGTCTGAGGAAACAGGATCAGTTAAGGAACTGGCAAGGTGAGGTTAGCTGTGGCTTGTTCTGCTTCTCTGATCTTCCAGTATTCACCCCAATACCTGGCCTCAGGTTTGATTTTATTAATAAGACCTTTTAAGATTCATGCTACAGGGTAACTTACAAGTGAATGGATAGTTTACAGAGTCTGGGGAAGGGCGTGGCACAGTCCGGCGGTGTTCTCTGGAGAACTCTGCTGGGTCTACCTCCAGCATCCAGGGTCCAGGACTAAGAGAGCTGGCGCATCCGGATCTCGAGTCTTCAGGGTCCTCTCTTGACCCTACCTTGTAGGTGTGACAGTTATCAAACCCTCAATGGGGGTTGGAACTTCCAGATCAAGGCTGGAATGGCTACCCACTACAATCTACCTTTTGCCTCTGAGCTTTTCCTGTTCTTACTTCTGTATGTCTTACTTTTACTCCTACTCCATGACTGACTGTGTGACTGGGTGGCTAGGCACTGGCATCCTCCTCTCCTTGTTCTCTTGCTCCTTCTTCTTCCAGAATGTTCCTTCTATTTATTTTCTCTGCCTGACAGACCCACCTATCCTTTCTCCTGCCTCACCATTGGCTGTTCAGCTCTTTATTAGACAATCAGGTGTTTTAGACATGCCTTTAATCCCAGCACTCAGGAGGCAGAGGGAGTTGGATCTCTCTGAGTTCCAGGTCAGCCTGGTCTACAAAGCGAGTTCCAAGACAGCCAGGCTACAAAGAGAAACCCTGTCTCGAAAAACAAAACGTGATATAGGGAGACATCACGGGGATAGGGAGAAACCAGCTGCTAGGGAAGTTCCCAGGAATCCACAAGGATGACCCCAGCTTAGACTACTAGCAACAGTGGAGAGGGTGCCTGAACTGGCCTACCCTGGTAATCAGATTGGTGACTACCCTAACTGTCATCATAGAGCCTTCATCCAGTAACTGGTGGAAGCAGATGCAGAGATCCACAGCCAAGCTCCAGGCCGAGCTCCAGGAGTCCAGTTAAGGAGAGAGAAGAGGGATTCTATGGGCAAGGGGCATCAAGATCATGATGAGGAAACCTACAGAGACAACCAAACCAAACTAATGGGAACTCATGAAATTTAGACCAACACCTGTGGAGCCTCCATGGGACTGGACTAGGCCCTCTGCATAAGCAAGACTTGATCTGCTTAAGGGCCCCCTGGCAGTAGGATCAGGATTCATCCCTGGTGCATGAGCGGGCTTCTTAGAGCCCACTACCTCTAGTGGGATACCTTGCATAGCCCTGAGGCAGGGGGAGGGGCTTGGACCTGCTTCTAATGTACCAGGCTCTGCTGACTCCCCATAGGAGGCCTTACCTTCTTGTAGGAGGGAATGGCAGGGTGGGGTGGGATGGGGGAAGGCTGGAGGGGTGGGAGGAGGGAAGAGGGGGATCTGTGATTGGTATATAAAATAAATAAAAAAATTTCTTAATAAAAAAGAAAAACAAAACAAAAACAAAAAATTAAACTTAATATACATTTTTCTAAAGCAATACAGATGTCTTCAGACATGTAAAGTCCAGTGGTTATCCATGCATCATGGTGCATGACATAAATGCATTAACCTTGTATTTAAGACATTGTGAAGCCTTGAAAATTGTTATCACACTTACTTAGGTGAACAAAGGTGCATGTGAGCATGTGATGGAGCACACATGGAGGTCATAGGGCGGGCGGCTTGCAGGAGGCAATTCTCTCTTTCCACCCCATGGGTCTCAGGAATCAAACTCAGTTGTCAGGGTTGGTGCAGACACCTTTACCCACCCAGTCGGTTGTCTTGCTGACCTGACACTGGAATTTTGTCCAGTCTGGCCTCTAGTCTACTTCCTATAGTGTTATGTACATTTGTGTGCTTTGGGTAGCCTGAACTGCTTGCTCCCTTCTTTCTCCATGAATTCTGTCTGCTCACTACATAGACCCAGCTGTCGAATGGATGGGAAATAAAAAAGGTAAACAGTGTGAGTTATCACCTCTCCTTCATAAGTCAGAGGAGAGGTCCTGTCGAATCCCATGCACGTTGCCTTTGGATGAGCCTTGTCTCTTTCAATATTTCTGGAATAAGAAAGTGAAGTTTACAACCTTGTTTTGCAGCAGCTGCAGCGGCAGACATGGCATACCACCACATCAGACCTCCCATCGGCTACTCCATCCCCAAGCCCATCTCATCTCTGCTGATGCGGGGCTGGAATGCATGTCCTGAAGTGAGTGACTTTGTTTCCTCTTCTAAAGTGTGTGATGTTCCAAAGCCCATCGCAGACTGTGGCTCTAACACCTGTGTCCGGCGTGTGTCGAAAGAGCATGGTAGGGAGACTGGCCTGTGTCTCCAATGACCAGGAGGCCTGAGCAGTTTGGATTACTGTGTTGCCTCTCTGTAGCTTTGAGCTGTTCCTCACAGCTGTTTAGGAAGAGAGAGACCTGAGATTGAGAGGTGACACACGGCCATGTCAGCTGCAGTTTAATTAGCTTGAGTCACACTGAGTCCTTTTCTAGAGAAAAGACTTTGGCACAAGATGGACTCAAGATGGCTTTTCACATGATGAAGCAAGCCTGCAGGAGAGCCCAGGGGACAAGGTCTTCAGCTGCTGCCTGAATCTGGCAGCACCAGCCACAGCAGCTCCTGTTCCCTGTGTTCTCAAAAGATAGGGTGAGTCTTCACTGTCTCGCTTACACTGGGAGACAGCAGTGTCTATGGATCTCTCTTGCTCGAATTTGGTCAAGACACCATGGGTCTCTCTGAGAGGGCAGTGGACCTTGTTCTGAGCTATTCATATGTAAATGCTAGAAGACTCTCATTGTTCAGGACAGCACATCTGGTCTTGCCTTTTCTTCAACAACCTTGATTGGCTGTTCTCCCTAAACCTCTGCGCAAGAAAGCAGACAAAGTGAGTCTGTTACTATTCCAGAAAGCACCCCGAAGGACAGACAGAGTGAGCCCTGCTCTAGACATTTGAAAGAAAAGGTATGATTGGCCTTTTTAAGGCAACACCCAAAAGTCATTGCCCAATCCACTATGTCCATAGAAGCCTCTAGAAGAGAAGTGGAAGTTCGCACAGGATGTGGTTTGAGTGTGTCAGAGGACAGCCTCTTCTTCTGACCATTCAATCTGATGTGTGCTGTACTGAATTTAGAATCATCTCATATTGGCAGGTTAACACCACAAAAGCAGAGTTTGTTTGGTTTGTTTGGTCTTGTTTTGTTCATTGTTATAACTGTAGCACTCAGAACCACAGGTTGGAAATGCTCAAAAACACAGTCTCTGTAGAGTAAATGACGGAATTCTTCATGTTGGTGCCTCCCATTCCGTGTCTAGATTCTGGTCTCTGTAAAGTTTTATATTAAAATTACATGACTTGAAATAGTTTGAGGAGACCTTTCCTGGTTTTGCAATGTGATCTTGAGAGCATTACCTGGAGATAAATGTACAGAGTGCCTTATCCAAAGTTCCCTTCTCTCTGTAGGAAGAGAGTTGTACCAAGTTTTCACATGAAATATCAATAAAGGGATCTATTTGCTTCGTGGTGCGTGTGTGTGTGTGTGTGTGTGTGTGTGTGTGTGTGTGTGTGTGTGCGCGCGCGCGCGCGCGCGTGCTTGCAGGGGTAATTGCTTTAGTGGAAAAGTTGTATTACTAAGGAGTGAATTTTATCAGCACAAGATACAGGCTGTAGGTTCAGAAAGGAAGATGGAGGCAAGGTGTCCTTGAACAGCAGAGACACCAACTTGCTAGTAATATTGGGCTTTCACTCAGCTGGGTCCTGCCTTGGCCCTGGCATCTGCTTCATGACTATGATGGTCTGCTTTTCCTTTGGTCTTTACAGTGCCCAGAGGGTCCTTACCATATGGTTAGGGTGAGCGGTAAGATGATGGGAACCGGGGATCAAGACTCTGATTTTTGTTTTTCTTCAACAATTAGTTTATCAAGTTCCTGCTTTACTCTGACCTGAGGTGGGGCTAGGGAGTCAGTGGAGCAGGGCTGTCCATGGAGCTGAGGGAAGTCAAGATTAAGGAAGAAAAGACTCTATGAAAGTGCACACCAAATCAACTCCAGAAAGTAGGGGACAGAGATGAAGTGTTTGCTAGTTTAACAGGTTAAACCCCCAGGCCAGGTACCATTTGATAAAGATTTTTAGCTGTAACAGACTAACACCATGTTCTCCCACCCATTTCTTCATTTTCACATTCATTTCTTGAGAATTTCAGATATGAGTATTGACATCTTTTCCACTCCCCCCTTTCAACTTCTTCAATGTCACCCCTAGACACTCTCTCAAAATTCATTACACAGTCCAAACCCCCAATATTCCAAACGCCGTGGTACTGGCTTAAGTGTCTAGCCAGACTAAGGCATTTCTAGTCAGTAACATAAGCACAAGAAAGTATGTTTGGTTTTGTCTGTTTGGTTTTGTTTTTCTCGAGATAAGGTTTCTCTGTGTAGTCTTGGTGCCTGTCCTAAAGGCAAGGTCTGTGTAATCATGGCTAGCCTAGAACTTGTGATGTAGACCAAGCAGGCTTCATAGATAGTAAATGTCAGACTTTGGAAAGCCTCAGAAACTGCAATATGAATTTATACATGAAATTGTAGATAATTTTAATTTTGTCTCTAGAGTGGTAAAAGAAATATAAACCAGAATAATTGTTTTAGAAATAAATTTCTTAGGTATAAAGGGTTTCTCATCATTTACTGAAACCTTGACGTGTAACTCTGTTCATGAAATAATTTTTGAATTATCTTTGACTGTGTGGGCAGCATACTATTCACTCTACGTGGTGTGTGTGTGGAAGCAGAGATTCTCGGGCGCCATCCTCACCCTGCAGAAAGAGCATCCCTGGTATGGAACCTGAAACTGCACATCCAGCAAGCCCCCTAGCAACACATGCCCAGTAGAGACAAACTAAAGCATGAAAACTGAAGAAATGTTCTCAGATCAGAACAGCCCAGGGGCTGCTGGCACTGTGATCCAGTTGATTATAACTGGCACCTGTGCGGTTGCCATGGAGACCCAGAGGACTCACATAAACCCGAGGTCTATTGTAAAGGAAGCACCCTAAGGAAGAAAGGACAGTGTGTGTGTGCAGGGGCCATCTCTGCTGCCTTCTGAGAGGCAGCCAGTGAGGAAGGGGAGGCTTAGCCCCTGCATAGCTGGAACACTGGTGGTGACAAGGAGAGAGAACGAGGCCAAGGACCCTTCATTACAGAGACAGCACTTTTCAAACATTGAGAAACTGAGAGATAGAGAGAGAGACAAAAACATCACCCCATCTGTCAGTCAGAACAGAAGAACCCGACCATACAGGAAGGCAGACGTTCCTCTCGCCTCAGAGGTACTTCCCACAATGAAGTGGTATCAGGAGAGAGAGGAGGGTGACATGGCAGTGAAGCCCAGGTAGAGAGGACAAATGAAAACAGACAGGGCGAAGACCGAGCCAGAGATGTCTGACACTCGGCAAGACAGAGGAAGGGGTGAGGGACTTTCAAAATGAGAATGGTTCATCATTTGCTGTCAGCGCCACGCAGGAAATAGAAGTGGAGCACCAAACAGTGTTTGCAATGTCCAAGCAATCTGTTATTTGATATTATAAATATCAAATATGGCTAAAAAGACAGAGTCTGGGACAGATACAAAGATGGGAAGGGGAATGCTTGTTTCTGTGGAATCCCCCTACCCCCACCAGGCAGTGTGAAGTATTGTCTTCCATTCTGTGAGTGCATAGGCTGCATGTCTTACTGGGTATCAGTATAAATTGCCTGACTAGACCTGCAGTTTTCAGGTAAATGTGACTGTCAGTAAAGAGGTTTATTCACCATTGCTTTCAAATCCAGTATTTATAAGCACATTTGGTTCTCTGTGCAAGGAGGGTGCTCTCAGCAAACAGCAGTGGCAAGCTCAACTGGAGAGAGCAAACCTCCAAAGATTCCCGTTAATGGCTTATTTGGTTTTCAAAGCCTTATATTAATAACAATTGGCAATAAAGCTCGTTAAAATTCCTTTTGTTCTTGAGCCATTGTGTTGCTTTTGAAACCTGTTTGCCTTTCTGAAAGGAAGGGAGATGAGATTGCCCTCTTCTGGACTTTCAGGATTTTTCAAATTTTACAGTTGGCTTGGAAATCCTCAATTTTTTTTTCTCTTAGACGAATAGCAGATTTTTAAAGACTTCTACTTAAGATCTAAGAAAATTATCGACAGAGAAATTACAAATGGGTAAAATTTACCACTATGCAGTACAATTAACAAACATGGCTGAATTTTCATTACACCTAATTAGGAACACTGATCAGGCACACGTGAATATATAATCATCGGTGTGGAAAGCAAAATTGTAATAATAAGCACTAATTGAGACATGCATAATAATTTCCATAAAATATACATCACATACAAAATGTCCTTTTCATGTTGAATCTTTCATTCATTTGAGGCTTTTTAAATCTTCAGTTGATTTTCCAAGAGGAGGCAAAGGTTTTCATTGTCCCATTCCTTGAAGGAGTCTGCTCACTCAACCATGGGGAGCACGCTCCTGGCTCCAGCTTCCATTTTTGTGCTGCAACAGACTATGAACTTCTATTACACTGGAAATGAAGAATTACTGAGGATTTATGCCCTAAACAGTGTGTGTTCAGCATACACAAAGGCTAGGGGTGTTTTTGATCCTTCAGAAGACAGCTTAAGCAGAAAAGGCATGTTATGCAGTTTGCTGTCTCTGACTCGCTACTCAGCTTCTAAAAGTGGTGGAATTGAGTCCTCAGTAGATGGTGGGTGTGATGCAGGTTGGTAAGCAGAGTTTTCAGTTCCATTTTCTCTGTGAGGAATTAGAGGCACCCCGTTTTCTGCCTCAAAATGAATGATATTCAACTCCCCAGAATGGTAAGAAGCTCCTGGCATGCCCACTGTCCCAGCATCGTCTCTGTGTGCACTGACATCTGGTTGGTTTTCTCCAGGGTCTCTACAATGGGACTCGTGGTTGAGAGTGTGAGGATCTGCCTCACTCTGCAGCATGATGGTTTTGACTTTACTCAAGTCTTTAATGGAAACTATCTCCTTGTCAGGCCCGGGATAGCACACTACAAGTTTCTCCTTCCACTCGCCTTCCCATGGCTGCTGTCTTTCATCTGTGGTAGCCAGCTGTGTCTCCCAACTCACTACACTAGAATTTGCCTTTCTCTCATCAAGTGCTTGTTTCTGTTCTTGGCCCACTGCCTGCGTCC